TAATTATAACAAAAAATATTATGCTTATAATAATTATAATTATAACAAAAAATTATGCTTATAATAATTATAATTATAACAAAAATATTATGCTTATAATAATTATAATTATAACAAAAATATTATAGTTTAACAAAAAATAATTTATAATTTATAACAAAAAAAAAATATTATGCTTATAATAATTATAATTATAAGAAAAATATTATGCTTATATTATGGTAAATAAAGCATAATACTTTTTTAAAACATTCACATTACAAACATAAACGTTTGTGGTTTCTCTTTTTTCTTTTATATATATATATATATATATATATATATATATAGATATATAGAGACAGACAGACAGACAGACAGATAGATAGATAGATAGATAGATAGATATAAATAATACTATAGTATTTTGAATGGAAATAATAAAGGAGTTATTTACTTTTAAAAACAGCAGGCGGCTTATGTTAAAATAAAGTTAGTCATTTAATGAAATTAATGAACACGTTTGCTTACAAAGAACAAAATACAAGTTAGACTTATACACGAACACATTGTTTTATTTTATTTTGTCGTTCAAAGATCGAATATCTATTTGTATTTTTCCTGATGACAGGATGCGCTATACACCAGCCACAGATCAGACAACTCTGTATAAGATAGTGATCTAGTTTTCTATGCGTACCGATATAGCTAAGGATGTTCGAATGGGTTTTCAAATAAATGTTGAAATACTTCTGCATGTTTACATTATTAGCTTAGTTGTTTTGAATTTGCAGTCTGCCTAATTCCAAGACGCTCTAGCTATGTGTCCTGGAAGCCCAGGGTGCGGCTGCTAGAAAGAATTTGGGAACCATTGCTTTAAATGAAAGGAACAATTGATGATAGATTATCGTCCTTGAATACGCTTTCTAAACATCTGCTAATTAAACAATTAATCGTATCTAAACGGGAACATTGCGCATCCAAATAAGCTTCGTTTTGTTTTAATTTACATTTAAAGTTATTGTTATCGATATTTTATTTTCAATTTTGTTTGATTTTCTATACGTTTTCTGGCAAAATTTCGCTTTGTAAACAGACCTCAGTTTAATCTAACCTTACTTTCTGTTCCTCTTCTTTTCGATAAGTTGTATGTGAAAGGAAATGATTTCTCGCAGTGTTTATTTTTTTTTATTTCCTCCACATCATTTCACCTAATTACTGTAGAGCAATTATTGTTTTTTTTCCGTTTTTGTGATGGTTTACATTCTATTCAGATCTTTCAGCTTCTCTTTGAATAGACAATCTTATTGTACGTGGTTATTTTAAAGCAATGACATTCTACATCTTCTTCTTCCATTCTATACAGGAGTAAATATGCCATTCACTGCTTTAAAAATGCCACCAGGCACATCTTCCATATATATATATATATATATATATATATATATATATATATATATATATATATATATATATATATATATATATATGTGTGTGTGTGTGTGTGTGTGTAAAATTTAAACGTTCCTTTCGCAATTTTATAGATGCCTTAACTGTTTTTCTTTACATATATAGAAAATAGAGATAGCTTACGCTAACACACACACACAGGCACGCACACATATATGTATAGATAACCTTTCATTATATATACATATATAATATATATTAAATGTATGTAAACATATTTTTGTATGGCCATCTGCCTCTTATCTTTTGTATATTCATATCTACTTTTTTTTATATATATATATATATATATATATATATATATATATATATATAGGTGAAAGTTATATCAAACTTCAGATTTGGTGAGGAATTCTTATCTTCTTCGAAACGGAAATTTTCAAACACACAAAACATATATATATATATATATATATATATATATATATATATATATATATATATATATATATTTCAGATACGATCCTAATATGTGCCTGCATTAATATATGCATGTGTTCATGTCCGTATATAAGACAAGAACTGTTACCTACATCAAATATGTATAAAGCTTTTCTTGTGTGTGTACACACACACACACACACACACACACACACATATATATATATATATATATATATATATATATATATATATATATATATATGCGTGCTGTCGAAACCTGAATTTTCCAGTTTATATATAGAATTCACACTCTGTATATATACATAAGTATTTTTTTACAAATGGCTTTTTTTCGTAGAAGTATACATATACATATATATATAAATACATACATACATGCACACACACACACACACACACATATATATATATATATATATATATATATATATATATATATATATATATATATATATGCGTTTGTTCGGGTCTATGCTTATAAGTGTTTCCACAAAAGAATATAGAAAAGAAAGGAACTAAGTTTTTAAAAACATCGATTAGTAAAAACAAAGCCAGTTACAAGTGACTGTGTTTTAAAGACATGAAATCGCCCATTTTATTGTTCCGGAATTGTAAGAAATACAAACCAATCGACATTTGGGAATAATGGAATTAAAACTGTTGCAATTCATTTTTCGTTCTGCCTTTGTTTTCTTTTTGAACGAATTGTAAGTGCAAAATTGTAAAAAGCGATTCGCAACAAAGCAGATCCGATGCACGTAAATCCTGCTGGGTACAATACGTTAGTTTGTTGTTGTGAGAAAATACAACAACAAGACAAAACCAAAAACAAAAGAAAAAGATTACAATGTCCCTTACGGAATTTGTTTTGGGTGAGTTAAAGGAGTGCACAGCATTTGAGAAAGTAAAAAAGCCATCATTTATTGTTCAGAACGGAGTTTTATAGCCTATTACAATCTCTTCAAACTTGTTTTTGCTTTTCTTTTTTGAGAGATTCTGTTTCATTTATCCATGTATTTAGTTATAACTATTTTATAGTCTTTTCACATTTTTCTCATCCTCACTCTCAATCTCTCTCCATACATACATACATGCATATATATATATATATATATATATATATATATATATATATATATATATATACACTATATATATATATATATATATATATATATATATATATATATATATATATATATATATATATATATATATATATATATATATATATATATATATATATTATGCGACAGTTGTCATCTTTGTTGCCATATTTATCACAACCTGTCGGTCGTTGTACGCTCCGGCCTTCTTCAGGTGGTTGGAATGTCGAACTGAACCCTTTATTTCGCTCACTGTTGTAGACTGTTCTAGTTCCACGTGCCATGTCTAGTGGATGTCAGTTATCAGTTATCTCGTGTTAATTATCTCATAATTCAAGTTCTCCACTGCTTCAAACAGGTATTGAACTCACAACGTTTTGGATCCTATCCCGGGATCTAACTGTTGATGAAATGATGAAGACATGGATCTTAGAAAGTACTTGCTTAACTTAAAAGAATATACACTAGAAACGTCTGACAACAGTTTTATAAATGAGGATCACATCATTCAATTGATTAACAGTATTTTAATGCATACATTATGTTCTACTAGCGAAGTGATTTAGCCATTAATCGCATTAATATTGCTGATTGATTGTATGTATGATTATTTCTTTATATATATATATATATTTAATAAACAATCAAATAGCAAATCGCCTCATATGGGGAACAGCCTATTTCGGTAGACGAAAATATCGGTCGTCTGTCTTAACAACAGTGGTGTGGATTGTCAGGAATAGAAATTTAACTGTGAAAGCTGAAAATTGATATTTTCTTCTGTTGTATGCAACACATTTTTTATCAGTCGTTATAAAAAATTTAATGAACGGTTACTTTGGACGATAGAATTATCCTTTCAATTGCTTACTTAAAAAAAAAGAAATGACTTATGAATATATATATATATATATATATATATATATATATATATATATATATATATATATATCCAAGTATATGATTAGTGTATACGGAATAAAAGTATAAAATAAAATTCTACAATCTACATTCAACATCATCATTGATAAGACACCAGAGGTGTTGAAACAAAATGGCTGTTTTGTAGTGATTTTATAGCATATTTATGTTATAATTTATTTAAAAAAATAATTATATATATATATATATATATATATATATATATATATATATATATATATATATCAGTCGGTTTCTATTTATCTCTGTCACTTTTTAACTATCGTTGTCGTTTTTATCTATCTATCTATGTTAGTCTCTTCATTTCTATCTGTAACATGGAAGAGCTATGATAGAAAGGTTTATTCTCTCATTTGTATTTCTCCCATTATGAGCAGTATTATATCTATGATATAATAAGACCGTACTTTCCGGACGTAACAGAATGGCTGAAAGGGAAAAGAATGACAAACATGAATTGTTCTTAGAGAGACTTTGATATCATTCAGGCATACACAAAACTATGTGTACATATACACTCGTGCCCCATACCGAGAATAATATACCGTATATCTACACATCAAGCAGTATGTAACGCGAAACAAAAAGGAAGTTTTGCATATAATATGGAAATTCTTCTATGTTTCTGGAGAAGCCATGTTTAGGACTCCAGATTCAAACGGGCAGGGTTTATTTACTATGTCCCAGGCGTGGGTATATTCCACGGAGAGGAAACGGCGTGTGTTGGGTTTTCCCAAATTGAGGACTGCGAGCCGGCGTTTCTTTCTGTATCTGGAAAGATATATTCCTAAATGAAAACAGCGCCATGTGCTTGTAAGCTCTAACATTTGCTAGAGGAGACAAATTTAGATTCAACTCGGGTTGCTTTGTCTAAAGTAAAAAGCAACCACACAGTTTGGCTGCTGTAAACAAACTGAATGACTGGCAACTCTCGTCACTGTATGAAGTGACGTCACTAAGCGTACGTCACGTAACCCATGTGCCTTATCTCAACCAAAGCGATGATAATCAACTTCTGTATCCCTACATATCTATCTATCTATCTATCTATCTGTTTTCATTCCTTCTTTCTCTCATCCCTATCTATCTATCTATTTAATGTATCTGCCTTCATTCCTTCCCTCTCTCATCCCTCCATCTATCTATCTATCTATCTATCTATCTATCTATCTATGTAATGTATCTGCCTTCATTCCTTCCTTCTCTCATCCCTCACTCCCTCCCTCCCTATCTATCTATCTATCTATCTATCTATCTATCTATCTATCTATCTATCTATTTCTTCCTTCCAATCTATCTATCTATCTATCTATCTATCTATCTATCTATCTCAGTCTGTTCACTATCTCTCTATCGATGTATTTCAGTCTGTTCATTATCTATCTATCTATCTATCTATCTATCTATCTATCTATCTATCTATCCTTCCTTCTCTCATCCCACATCTATCTATCTATCTATCTATCTATTTATCTATCTATCTATCCTTCCTTCTCTCATCCCACATCTATCTATCTATCTATCTATCTATCTATCTATCTATCTATGTAATGTATCTGCCTTCATTCCTTCCTTCTCTCATCCCTCTCTCCCTCCCTATCTATCTATCTCTATCTATCTATCTATCTATCTATCTTCTTCCTATTTCTTCCTTCTATCTATCTATCTATCTATCTATTCACTATCTATCTATCTATCTATTTCAGTCTGTTCATTATCTATCTATCGATGTATTTCAGTCTGTTCATTATCTATCTATCTATCTATCTTCCTCTATCCCACATCTTCCTTCATCTATCCCACATCTATCTATCTATCTATCTATCTATCTATCTATCCTTCCTTCTCTCATCCCACATCTATCTATCTATCTATCTCAGTCTTTTCTTTTTCTATCTATCTATCTATCTATCTAATGTATTTTCCTTCCTTCTCTCATCCCTATCTATTTATATATCCGTAATTGGCATTACCGCCATGTGTATGCAAAATATCTATTTACGAATACCTCGGCACTTATCAGACCCTTTCAGAGTTTGAAGTTCACTGCAAAGACACCATGAACTTTAGTTCCAAGCCAATAAAAATTATGACTAGTATACAAGTAAATTGCCCACAGTGAAATACATATGGATTATAAGCATGTGGTTCTACAGTAGCATTCTGAGAATACCATGGTCTGAAGATTTGAGCAACGAAGAAATTTTAATAAAAATGGAAACAGAAAGGTTACTTATGCATAGTATTAGAAAAAGACAGTTGAGGTAATGAGGAAAGAAGTCTTGGAGAATTTGACACTCACAGAACATATGTGAAGGCAAAGTGAGACATAGGTAAGCAGCGATTAACCTACCAAGCTACCAGAACAGGGATTAGGAGAGATAGCAAGACAAACATTATTAAAAGCTACAAAGGAAGTTGTAGAGAACCATATCCTGAAGGGACACGGCACATAAACAGGAAGATCTTAAAATATGTTTCTAGTGTAATCATTCCTTACTAGACGCCCCGTGACTGTAAGTTAAGAACAAATTTGTCTTCCTCATTTCATAATGCTCTTTAACCTATTGATTTTACGAGCGCCTATTACAAACTAAGCGCTCATTTTGATTAGCCTTTTGCCAGGATAGACTTCACTATTAACAAAAAACTATTATGGCAAAATTTATTATGCTGATAGGTACAGATATAATCAACAGAACGACTGCCAAAGCGAAAGATATAGCAATAGGTAAAGCTGTCATCAATCCGCGCCTCTAAAAGCGTTTATATACGGCAAATAGCAAGCTGAGATAAGCGGACAGACAGAAGCTATGGTTTGAAACCCTCTCACGTGACTACGACCCGAATTGAGATTGGGTTTGTTTGGCTGGTAGGTTAAAAAAAAATGTGACGTTTCATGAAACTCATAAGACCCTCTTGCTACCACCTTCAGCAAAAAATAAAAATAAAAATAAAAAACATACACCCACACATATTCTACTCAAACTGTTCCAGATTTCCTATCTTCTAATACGAAAATATACAACTATTTATTTGTTTGCCGGAGAAAAAATGCCTCCCGTTTTTTTATTCCTCTCTTTTATTTTAAATTTTTGTTTTTAATTTTTGTTTTTAATTCTCTTCCATATATAAATTACGACACGGCTGAATTTCCCATAAAACCGAAAAAAATAGATTCACCGACAAAGAAGGAGAAAACAGAGATGAAGAAAGAAAAAGCGAAGGGAATGATACGCTTTGGTTTTTGATGCTGTCATAGAAATGCATTAAAATTCTTGAAGGCGGTCCACAGATCGTCTAACCTAGAGATATGAACAGTAAATGGTGTTCGCTGTTTAACTAAAATGGCTCCGATTCAACAAAATGGCCGTTGCCATGAAGCCGAAAATATTCTGCTTATATACAATATGCGTAATTTACTAATGAAAAATCGTCCAATCAGAATACAAGACCACCAAACGACATATAGAAAATCTCGTAATTTCTAAATTCTATCAAAGAAGAAGAAAAAGAAGAAGTAGAAGAAGATGAAGAATAAAAAGTAAAAAGAAAAGAAAGAAGGAAATTGTGGCATTGAAAGAAAACAAGGAAAAATAAAGTGAATATGTAAAGATTACAGGCTTGTTGGGATAGATAATATAGACGTGCGGTACTGCAACTGTTATCCCAGTTCGTTTCGTACTAATGCCCTTGGAAAAGGCAAGTCTCTCTCTCTTCCTCCAGCTATGGATGGAACATTTGAGCAACGACTATATTTTAAGGAAAATGGAAACAAAAAGGTCACTTATATATACTATAAGAAAAAGACAGTTGAACATTCTAGGGCCTGTAATGAGGAAAGAAGGCTTAGAGAATTTGACACTCACAGAACATATTAAAGCCAAAGTAAGAGAAAGGAAATCAGCGAATAGCCTACCTAAGTACATTATGTATATGGCTGTCAGAACAGGGATCAGAAGAGATACCAAAGAAGACAAATATTGTTAAGATATACAAGGGAAGTTGAGGAGAACCATAGTCGCCAACGTCCTGAAGGGACACGGCACATAAAGAAGAAAATCTCAAAACCTGTTTCTAGTGTAATCATTCTTTATTAGGCTATTGGAATTCAAGGCAGAGTGGAGTTAGTCGGTTTGATTGAGTGTCAACTATTCAAAGAGGAGAAAAACTCCGAATTCAATGACTAGTGTTAAGAGGGATGGGCTCCGTCCGGTTACCTTGCAACTAGATATGTTAGGGTTGCAGGACATGTGGTTTCCCTATGAGTTTCGGGACATGGTGTGCTAGATAATGATGAATCTTTCACAGACACCAGAGGCCAATGTTCCCGTCAGACTATAAAAAAAAAGTTAACGCCAAATTTCAAGTCAAGACGCATATTCGATGTTGCCTGAAAATGAATACAACTTTCCAATCCCTATTTCTCTACATTATGTTCATAATAAACTAAACCGAGGAAATCCTTTAATCCTCATAGGGAACCCTTTTTGCCTTCCACCAGCATGGCTGAGGCTAACCTCATAATGCGTACTTCGTCTCAACGTGAAGTGGAACAATTATATTGAATCAATTGCTAGCTCTGCAGCTAAGAAAATTGATTTACTTTGTCGTGCTAGACAATTTTATCTAAGATGGATTCTGACTAGTAAATTTGTCTAACATGACACAATTTAATCAATTTATAATCTACCATCCGTCCTTGCATTGAATATGTCTGCCATATCTGGTCTGGTACTCCGGCTATATATCGTAATAATTTGAACAAAATCCAATATAGGGTCTGTAATGTTATCTGTCTTGATCTGGCATCTCGACTTCAATCACTTTTCCACACCAAATATTTTCATGGCATTTGTTGTAACGAGCTCTCCTCCGGGGTACCTAGATCGCATGAATTTAAACGTACCACTGGAGTGGCTTTTACGTCTCTGTGTTTTATTGTTGAAATAACGAGATGTAACCGTAAGTTCTATTCTAACAATTTCATTTCTCGCACATCCCAACTTTTTCAAATTTCTTAATTAACTGGCATCTACAATCTTCAAATTATTAAATGCAATGTCAATCGGCATTTTCTGTTTGGTTATTAGTTACTAAGAGGAATGAATCAAACAGCTTCGTAGAAATCTTATGGAACCCTGCTGCCATTCTTTTCATTCTCCCGGGCGGTAGGTTTGAAGTTTTCAAAACAAGCGTCGTTTGTACAAAGACATATTTTTGTAGATTTTTAATATTTTTATAAGTATAATTTGGAGAAGGGAGACTTCAACGTGATGTGACGGTTAGTAAGCTTGTCTCTGTTAAAACAATTACGACTGAATATGGATTTCGATCCACATTGGGTGCCTCATACTTTCTGACTTGTTCCACATCTAAGCTACGTTTAGAAAATCAGCATAACTTGAAGAAGAGAGACATAATGTTAAACATTGTCAAATAATGTGTCTTCTTTTTCTTTTCTTCTCTAAGTGTTGACAACTACTGGAAGAGTTACGTCAGTCATATTGCTTTTAATAATAATAATAATAATAATAATAATAATAATAATAAAACAAGTAAATGGATGAAAGAGAGAAAAAAAACAGAATTTTATCGAAAAAAAAGCAATGGTAAAAACACTCTACAACTTAACTGACATGCCTAAAAATAAGGCCCACAGCTGATCTCGGATTTTATCAGATTTCCTTCCTCCTCGCAATGCCAAATGTTCCCACCCTTAAAGAAAACGAGACTGTCAACAAACCCTTCATAAAAAGAAAACAAAACATGGTGTTCTTTTCTTTCAGAGAAAAAATTTGGGTACTAAAAAATAGGAAGAAAAGTAATTTCAGTCTTAAACGTCCATATTTAATCTTGTTAAATTGCTCAGGGTTACAGACAAGCAACAGTATTTATAAGTGTTCTTTATATATAAGCTGATAATAGATTCAGGAGAAAAGATCGTTTACTCTTTCATACGTATCAATTCACTTAAAATGAAGGTTAGCAAAGTTTTCCTGGCAGATTATAAACTAGGATAAAGAGTTCAATTCTTGCAGGTGCTTCATCATTGTGCGCTTGTTTTAATCTGAGAGACGAATAATAAAGGTTTGTAAAAGAATTCTTATCTGAAATTGTGAAGCGAACAAGAATTGCATTCTTGGAATTTTTGTAATATTAACCGTTTCCTTATAAGAAAACATTCATCATTCATTGACCGAGTTGCCAGTGTTACTTCCGGTAAACTTTTCTTCATTACCTGGCCATTGGGCTAGAATGAAAGTGTAGTATCTGTTCTTATATTCTCTAATAGTAATAGTAATATTAACCGTTTCCTTATAAGGAAACATTCAGTGTTCATTGACCGAACAGCCAGTATTACTGTTGGCTGAATTTTATATAGCCTTTTTCTTAAAACAATTTATGTCCAGAAAAACAGGTTTCTCAAGTGCAGTAGCTGTTATCGCTCTTTCCGCTTCTGATGGAGGTTTCTTTCCTAATCTTTTGTCTGAAGTGGCGTGGAATGTCAATATCTTGACATGATATCAATTTTAGTTGTTGCTGCTTTTGTAAGTTCGATAGTGATGTGGTTTCTATCATTTGATACAGTTCTTTGCTTGTGATTGTGTAGTGCCAGTTCACAAGGTTCGAAGAAGTGTGTTCTTCATCAAGACATATAGGATTCACTCGCTCAAAACTATTTTTAGACATTGATCTTCGAAAGCAGTCGTATACAGCTGAGATTTTAGATATTTCTGATCGCATTTGGCGCCATGTGTCACATGAAAATCTCGATCTGACAAGGCTATTAAAGTACAGGACTCAAGTTTTCAGGTTAATCTTTTGATTTTGTAGCAATTTATCTTGTTGGCGAAAACTAAACCTAGCGCAGCCTATTCTATGTTAAGTTACCTTATCTCATATGCTAAATTTGT